AAGATGAACAAGCATGACTCACCGGAAAATGAGGGGCAAAAGAAAGTTTCCTTAAAAACTCGATTTACAGTTCAAAGTACTTGCAATTACCTATACCCAGCTTACAGCATCTGCTAATAACCCAGCTTTGATTTTTCACTACAGCTGCGAATTTCGATTCTAGGGTTTTTTGGTAAGTAGAGGTTTTTGAGAAGATGAAGTAATTGGGCCAGAGAATAATAATAAAAATAAAAGAATGAGAGCAGCCAAAGGGGTAGGAAAGAGCGGGAGTGAATAGAGGCAATTAATAAGGCCTCATCATCAACCTTATTTACATCCTTCGCCATAATTTCGCTTCTAAATGTGATTTTAATTATTTATTATAAAATGTAAAATGTATAGGTATGCCCCACGGTTGCTAGGTATGACAATGGACCAAGTCGAATCGAGTACTTTTAAACTCAAGCCTAACTTTGGCTTGGCTCGGCTTGGGCTCGGTTCGTGCTCGAGCCTTTAACAAGTTGATTTCGAGTTCATTTAAAGCTCTTTTGGTTAAAGATTCGAACTTGACTCAGCTTGGCTCGATATGACTCGTTAAGACTCGAAAAATATAATATTTATTTAATTTTCTATAATTTGGCACGTTAAAACTCGAGATCGGCTCGTTAAGCTTCGAATTCAACTCGTTAATAGTGATAAACGATCCAAGCTCAAACTCAGCTCGGCTTGTTTACATGCCTGGACATGGCGAGGCAGTGTCTTGTACCCGAATCTTTCCAATTTATTATATGGGACGGACCCAACTTGGCCCGTTTTGGCGGGTTCTCACGCCCCAAAGGTGGTAGGTCAGACATTGTTTAGAATGAGTCTTGGTTAAAGGTTGTAGGTCATACACTGTTTGGAGCGAGACTTGATTAAATTGTCACCCTTCAACAGTCAGGTCAGTCCACAATACCAATCATATTAAGTTATTCATAATTTTGAAAGGTTGCAGGAGTATATCAATTATACTGTGTGAAATTACTTGAAATAATTCAATATAATATTTTTTTACTAAACATGAAAGATATGTATGCTTTCAAATTAAACTGTCATACTAATAACCACATAAACAAAATGAGATGTTTTATATAATAGTATGTATCCACATATACATATATATATATATAGAGAGAGACAATGTATTTAATGCAGTATATTTTTGTTCCTTCCTCTTTATTTGGGGTTAATAATGACAACAAATCTTATTATATATTAATTATAATTTTTTAACTATTCTATCATATAATAGTTATATGAAAGCTAAATAATTATATTTTATATTAAATGGTATATGAAAGTTACATAAGTATAAAAAGTTACATTGTAAACTTTTTCTTCATTTTGTTTATTCTAAATTAAACGATTATTTTTTAGTCAACTATTCGGTTTTAATGGTATAGTCAAACCCTTAAAATTGTATGAACAATTGTTATAAGTTATGATGATAAATTTAACATTTTTTCAGGTACTTAATTGGTCATGATCCCCTAAAATTATCAAATTTACATTATTCATTATAATTTATCTAATCAATATAGTGACTCGTATGCATTTAAATCTTTATGTACTGTTCATGTTCATTTTAACTGGTGTTTGTATTTTTTAAATATAATATATTATATAACTTATATTGCTTTATTTGCATATGTGCATTAGCACAAAACCGAATACTATTTTTTGTTAAAAAAATTATATTGAATTGATCCTACTAACGGTTGGTCGGTCTCCCACAAAAAAATGTGCTTATTAAACGAGGAAATGAGAGATTGGGTATTATTATATTATATTATGCTATAATAATGTCTAATTAAAGATGAGGTCAATTTTGGAAGGTGAAACTTGAGGAATATAATATAATAGGTCAATAGTCGCATATATTTATTTTGTTGGGTATGTAGAGTACATCTGAATCTCAGTTGAAACTTCTTTGGGAAAATCGTCTTCAATTACACTCAGGTCCTCGAACTAATATGTATTATCAGTTCCAGACGGAATAAATGAATTTCATTCTAAAAGTGACACAGTTAGATAATTTAAAGTATAATAAGTATACTTTCTTAGATTTTGACATCCGCCCTTATAAATGAAACTGAATTAATCTGTCAATTGGGAAATGCTAAAACTATCATCAATCATAAACTTATATTTTCAACTTATATTTACAAATATGAAATATCTCTATATACAATTGCACAATTCTACAATTGAAGGCTATTACATTAATGTAATAATCTTCATTTTCCCACCCAAATAATTTTTTCATTCTATATGGTATTTTATTTTTATTCATTCCCTCAATTCAATTAATTATGTCACGTCTTGATAGTAAAATATGACATTGGATAGTAAAAAATTCATTTTCGTGAGAAAACATTTTGTGTCAACTGTCTATAGTTTGCTGGACACAAACTGCGTATGAGACATAACTTCTACCCTTAATCGGTCTCTCCTTAACTTCCCAGTCGTCGTCGTCGGAAAATCCTTCTCCCACGGAATAAACCTTTTTGGAATTTTAAATCTGCCGAGCGCATAAAGTTTGGTTAAGCAATTGTATCCGAAAAAATATAAGAGATTAAAGTGTAAATAGTAAATACATGTGAAACATAAGTTGGTTTGGTAAACATATAAGTTAGCTTACAACTTAATTGATTAGCTTATAAGAAAGCTTCCTGTATTCAAATAAATTTGGTTTGATAGGACGAGTTTTCTCGAGTTTATTTCATAAGCTTTCTTGGGTAGCTTTTCAAATTAGTCCATTTAAGTTTTTATGTCAGCTAAACACTTTTATTATATAAACTAACTTTTCAGCCATAAATCATAAGTTATGAACTATAAGCTCGAAATAGCTAACTTATTTACGAAATATAGTCATAATAAGCCATTACCCTGTTAAGTTCTTTTGTTTGCAAAATTGCCTGAGTATCTCACTCGACAAACACTTGACTTGCTCGACTCCTGCCGACTGACTGGCGCCAAAATCAACCCATTGCCAGCCGCTTTTTAGTTGAACACATGCGGTTACAATCTCTGTTAACCGAGCATCTGGAATCCCAATAGCAACAATCCTCGAAATCCCAGGATGTTGGGATAGGACACACTCGACCTGTGACAAACAATCAAAGTATATGTTAAGACCACGGAAAAATGGGGCCTAATTGAGAAATAGTTCAGTGATCGTGTTGACTTTACAAAACACCCTGTAACTCCAAAGAAACACGACTTTTCCACAGGCCCCTGTGACCGGTTGCTGACATGGATATTATTTTATTTTTTTCTTTTCCGTACACATGGCAGTCGACTAACATATCCAACTCAGATCAAATTGACTGGCTTTTGCCAACCAAAAGTCAAGTTTTTTTGCAGGGTGTTTCGTAAAATCAACACAACCACCATACTATTTCTCAATTTGGCGTCAATTACAGGACTAAATCTCCCATTATTCCTTAAGACCACATCAATCACTCTGCTAATTTCGATCTTTACGTTCTTACACGACGAAATTAGGCAATATATGATAATGATATTCAACTCATTTTTAACGTAAAATTTTTTTTTAGTTTTACCTCTTCAGGATAAACGTTCTCCCCGCCACTCTTGATTCTATCCTTTGCTCGTCCGACAAGCCATAGATTACCGTGCTCGTCTATCTGTCCTATGTCTCCAGTATCGAGCCAACCTTCGAGGCCCGGTTTCGAATGATTGGATTTCGACGGGCTTTGGCCCCAATAACCGAGCATTACATGTGGACCCTTCGTCAGTATTTTCCCGGTTTTCGAAGATTTTTTGTCAGGGCTTATTTTTAGTTCGACATGTGGAGCCGATTTTCCTACACAAATGCCTCCTTGAAAACTCGAGAGGTATTTGTGATGGGTGGTTTTGTTTGGATCGAAAAGAGTCATGAAGGTTAGAGACGAACATGCCTCTGTCATCCCTGCAGCAAATCGAATCATAAAAAATTATCCGCGGTGTAATTATACTTTTGTTTTTAATCTATTTAAAAAATAACCAAAAGCTCATTGAGATTTAATACAGGATTATGAATATATATAATATATACACACCATAAGCTGATAAAAGTGTGGCATTCGGAAAAATTTCGATTGCGTCTTTAGTGAGCTCGGTCGACAGGCCACCACCTCCATTCAGAATCTTCTTAACCGATTCGTAAGTTATTGATGATCTGTTTAATCTGAAAAATAAATAAATAAATAAATAAAAATGAATAAACTGCAAATATCAAGAAACAAAACGCATCTTATATTAGTGAAAAAAACGCCAATAATACTCATCTAAGAATTAACTGTTTGTTTACCGATTAAAAGAGATTAAATCGGCCATCATTGCCGGTACAGTGATCAAAGAAGTCACGTTGTGTTTCTTAATGGCTTCGATTGCTAAGTTAGCCTCGAACTTTGGTAATATAACATGAGAACCCCCAGCCATTAAAACGGCCATCGCTGATGATATTCCACCAATGTGGCACAGTGGAGCAGTGTGAAGATATACCTGCAAACAGTTTGCAAATTCCAAGCTTTCAATAAACGAGAGCGCCAAAAAACTTATGTTTTAAAAAAAAAAAAAAGCGAAATCTCACGAGGAAATAGTATACACACATCATCCTCGTCATAACGAACAATTGCAACTTTCGCAAGGGATTGCACAATGAGAGCCGAGTGTGTTATTGTAACTCCTTTCGGCTTCCCAGTTGTCCCTTTTGCTCATAAGAAGAGAAAAACAAACAAAAAATAAAAAAAATAAAAAAATAAATGAAAATCATAAGTCTTCCTTACAAAGTCTAACCAATTAACATGGAAACAGAACAAAACAAAGATTTCATCATCAACATCAAGAGAAAATAATAATATTTACAATTGACAATAACTCGTTTATACCTGACGTGAAGCATATAATCGCGGCTCTTTCAGGTGCCCATCGATAATCAACCGAAGCAAATTCTCCACCAATCTCCTTAACCAATTCAGAGGCAAAAACTGTAATTCCAAGACAAGAGATACGTGAAATATTTAACATAATCAATACATAGAAATACTAATTTAAATCACAAAGTCGATAAAAACCATACTTTTACCGATACTCTCAGCTTCAACTTTAGTATCCATCAACACGTGCCATCGTAAAAACGGAACCGAACCCATCTGAAACTTGGAATGCCAATAACCAATGCTTGAATCCGTTACCAATAAAATGGGTCTTACTAACTCCATTGCCGAACGAGCCTCTTCCAAGCTCTGCAAATAATTATTCAGATCACGATTTTCAACATTGAAATGGCTAATTGAACTTCCTAATCACAAGATTGAGACCCTTTTTTTTGTCTTTTTTTTTTCTTTTCCACTGTACTATGAAACTTTGTTAAGATCATTCATATATTAGGATTCATATATTAGACTAAAATGGTTGACTATTAAACATAAAGCAATTAATCTGTTATTTATTTTACTAACCCATCGATAGTTCAGTGGAGCTGCAATTCCTCCAACATAAGTAATAGCAAGCATCCATTCCAAATACAAGTCACTGAAAATTAAGATCATGACAATATTTTTTTTCCTTAAAATCAGACAAAGATGGCACAAGAAAACAAGATCAGAACAATTTTAGGATGGACTAAACTTTAAAGAGATAAAAATGTAATCTTTGAGGTCAGTTCTTCAGGGCGAATGGTCGATTGAGACAAAAACTTGAAATCTGCAGCTTTAACACTTCAACAAAATCAAAATTTATTCAAACATGCACAATGTCTCCGTACACAGCAAATCGTATTTTCGTATAATATTCAACAAATGAAAAATTATCTCTCGAGGAACCAACAAAAAATAAATAAATAAATGATAAATTACTGGTAAAAACTAAAATGAACCCATTAAAACACTTCGGCAGTTAACATTTTTTACTCTTCTTCTGAAAAATCGAAGCTCGAAAAACCTGTTGAGTGCAGAGATGGAGACGACGTCTCCGGGCTTTACCCCGAGCTGGAGAAGCCCACCGGCCAGCCCTGTAACTCCTTCGACAAATTGTAGCCCGGTTTTCCGGCGTTCACCGTATACGGTCACGGCGGAGCTGCGGCGGACGGTGGCGAGGCGGCTCAAGCACTGGCAGACGTGGGCCTCCGAGTAATTAGCCATTGGTGATAGGGGCAAATTGGGTGATTCACTATAGAGTTGAGAGAGAGATATGGAGGGAGAGGAGGAGAGTTGTGCTATTTATCCTTTTTTTATTTATTTATTTGTTTATCTATTTGTTATTTTATTTAATTAATTAAAGTGTCAACTTTATAGATCCTATGAACTTAAACAAATAACGTCAACTATTCATTATTGTAAACTCATATTACATGATACATTAATTAATAATGAGATACTAATAAATAAATTGTTAAGTGGGAATTGTCTTAAAATCTTGTGTCAAATTTATTGCTTGTTGGGATTTTTTTTTTTTCGGTAAAAATAATGTTTGACATTAATTTATTTTTAAAAACTTATTATTGATGTGTTAAAAAATCAATGAAAATAGTGAAGATAATCTTGAACCAAGATCAAAATTAACATATAATATTGGTTTATTCTAAATCTATTTGATAAAGAAAAATGCTACAAGTACATAATAAATGTACATAGAAGTATACATAACATTCACATAGAGTGGAGTCTACTTAGTTTTTTATTTTTTGTTGATCTCAATGTGAGTGTTATGTACACCTCTATGTACAATATTATATACCTATAGTATTTCTCTTTAATAAATTAGATGATAGTTAAACGAATTAAAAATTTATTGCTGATAGTTTGGATTAATAAAAATGATTTTATTTTTTTTGAATTATAAATTAGATGATATTTGGATCAATACGAAATGAAGTGGGTTCGTTCTAAAAAACACGATTTTGAAATTCTTTTTTATTATTTTTGTACCGCACTCGGAACTGTTTAAACAATGTTGATTTTGAATATTTTTATCAAGGATAGTCCGTTTGTCATATTTAATTACCTATGTATAAAATATTATAGTATATATATATATGTGTGTGTATATATATATATTGCATAGGTAGATTATACATTAAATCCAATACTTTTTAAAATTCAAGACTTTTTAAGTTTTGTGGAACTTAGTGAAATCATTAAAAATCTTAATTTTAAAGGGATTTTGTGATGGGGATCTGAACATATAATTTGTGTTTGAAATATCATCATATCTTAAAGTCTTAAGAACTCTTAATGTGAAATAAGTTAAGTATCTCATAATTTTTTAAAATTTTTAAAATATAAATTGAATACCCCAAAACTTTTTAAAGTCTTAAAAAATGTAAGTTAAATACAATAGGATTTTTAAAACATCAACAAGTCTTCATAAATTCCAAACGAATACACACTCATAATGTTTGAAAAAATATTTGATAATGTTTTGATTTTATTTATTTATTTATTTTTTTTGCAAAAAAGGGAAACGCTATTGTTTTTTAAGTTCCAAATCGATACAGTAACGAACTAGTTTGTCCCGATCCCAAATGAACATCAGTCTATTTAGGAAGATGTCTCATCCCATATTGATTCATAAAAGTGAGACAGGTACGGGACAAACCAAATCATGGACCTTCTAAAAAAGGCAGTCCCACCAAATCAAAGTTATTTATATAAAAAAAGTTATAAGCTAATTAAATAAGTTATAAATTAACTTACAGAGTTTATCAACAACTCCTAAATTTTTTATTAGCAAGTAATTGGGTGTAATTTTTTATTTATAAAATAGTTTCATGTACTCTTATTTTTTTCCCATCAACTTTATATTTACAAAATTAAAAAAATGTAAACTACTCATTACTAACATTTTCCAACAAAAATCACTATTTGTTTGGACATATATTTTTAACTATCAATTATTATTTTAATATTATTATAACATATAAAATTTAATATTTTTTGTAACTCGTAGTAATTCACCTGATTAAAATAACGCTTTATTCCAAAAAATAAACATTGTTTTTCATTGATTTTACTATTGATATAATTGTTTTCAAAGGAGGGGAATCTAAATTTCTACCGAGGTACAAGAATAGTAGTTTTTTTTTTTTTTTTTTAATAAAATAAAATATTTTTCATTTATACTTAATTCTCCTTATAGGTTTTATAATGTAAGTCAACAAATTTATTATTTCTCAAGTGTTGATCGTTTCTTTTTCCTTGCTTAACAAAGTACATACGTCAGACATGCACCATATTTCGTTTTGTTGAATTTTATACTTCTTGTATGTTGATATTTTTGCAATTATATTTATATATTATTACCAGAGTCAAAGTCATAAATGAATTTGATCAATTTTATTATATGTACTTCTTAAATCAATTTCACACAAAATCTTGGCGATAAAAATTTGAAATCTTCATACGTGGACTGGCCCAATTTTGTCAATCTTACGCTTCATAAATTGATTAATAACCAAATATTAGAGTTTGTTGCATAATAGTCTAAACATATTTTTCAAACTTAAGACTCAATATTATTAATAATAGATGTGACCTAAAAAAAGTGAAAATTTAATTAGTAAAGATGCGACGTATAGATGGAAATCAACATAGAATTTTAAGAAACACACAAGAAATAAAATAAAATTTAAATAAAATAAAATTTAATGATGTATTCATTCATTAAGCACAGGTTATTCATGATCCATAGTGGTTCATGATCTTGCTCGTTTTGCATTAGATAATAATATTATTCAATCTTCAAATGCATGCTTAGTTGTTGCCATTCATGACTCGTTAAACATATCAAAAAGTCCGAGTTACGTACTAGTATTTTTTAAAACAATACGTCTTACTTTTAACAAATTAAATATATATTCAAAGGTATACTTTAAATTACAGTATAAGTAAGAGCTTGACAATTCATAGTATGAGTAAGCATTTTGTAAGAAGTATGACTGTTTAACAATTAAACAACATAACAATTAAAGAAAAAAAAGTATGACTGTTTAACAATTAAACAACATAACAACATTTGTACTTTTTAAAATATTGTGCGAGCTTTTCAATTGTCTTTGAGACCATGTTAATTGAATAAAAGTTGCGANGAAAATGGGATTGATCGTGGATTAATTGAGTTAATTTAAAAAAAAAATGATTAAATGTTAGAGTGAGATTTTGTCTTTCTATTTAAATAATTTTAAAATGTGATGATTTAAGTTGATGTGACATGTTATTGAAAATTAAATGTAGTTAAAATTATGTGAGTGGATAAATAATGAATTAAAGTTGATATAATGTGTGATTGATTGATTGATATTATTTAATTATATTGATAATATTGATGATGAAATTTATATTAGATTAAATTTGAGTTGAATTTTGAGTTATTAAATTAATAAAAAAAAATCAACAGTTATCTTATGAGTTATGTGATTTTAATGTGACGAAATATAAAATGATCATTATCATTAAGAAAAATCACCCCAAAATAAATAATCTTTTTATCACAGCAGTGTAAAGTGTAACTTAAACTTAACCACCGCTAATTATTATGCCAGATAAGAAGCAATCCAACACGTTCATATTAATCATTTCTCCACACTAACTGAAATTTTCATATGTTTTAAATAAAAATATCTAAAAATATACTGCATAAAGAATGAAATTATAGATTTTTTAGGGTGTGATTGGATATAGATTTGATTGGTTTTTTGTTAACCATAGTTAATTTTGAAAGATGTGGTATGGTTAGTTGTTGGTAAAAATTTAATTTTAAATTAAATTAAAATAATATTTAAAATAAAATAATTAAAGTTGATTTGATGTAAAATAAAAGAAAAATTATTGAAAGTGATGATTAATTTTTAAAGTTATGTGAGGGTATGAACATTGAATTAAAGTTGACGCGATGTTATAATTTTTGTACACAAATTTTTGTACATGTTATGTATCATATAAAAATACATACTTATGATATGAAATAATATACTTGTATTTATATTGTTCAGTTCAAAATTATGCATATTTGTCAAAAAAAAAGAAAAATAATATATACAACAGAGTCGTACACTATTGCGAAAGCGGGACCCACTCGAGCTCGAGCTCGACCTCACCCGACTCCACATTCTGTAGCCTCAGCCAAAGCTCTTGCTTCACCTTCCCATCGACAATATTCACCGTGGCATCCTCTATAAGGGCGTTATCGTAAGATTTGAGCCATTTCCCGATTTGCATGTCCCCAAACATGCCCGGGTCACCAAAAGCCATTGCTGATGTCATCATAGGCTGTATGTCTATCTCCGCCTCACCCATTATGTCGTCAGCAGATAACATGTCGTGATCATATACTTTCTGTGTTACGAAAGTAATAACAATGATAAGAAGAAGAAGAAGAAGAAGAAAAAAACAAGGCCATATTGAATAGTGAATTATTGGGTTGATCATACGATTATTTATACCAGTTTTATTGAGCTATAGTTTTCCGGGACATCCAGCTTGAGTTCCTCATTCCAGACAGGATTCAAGTTGCTCTTTATGACACTCGTTTTCACATTCTATGAAGACAATGAGCCAATATTGATTAGATTTCGAAAATGAAAAAAGAAAGAACTTAATTAAGGGGGAGTTTAGAGAAACTACCTTACGTTTTTCCCTTTCCTCTGCCTATGAGATTTCATTTTGAAAGCAAGACTGAAAAAG